ACTTTTTTCAGTTGATTTTATTACAGTTTAAACAGTGAGTGTCTTATATATAATATATATATATCTCATCACGGTAAGTTACCCTTATTTCCCCTGACAGAATCAACAAATAGATTGAGAAAATTATTGTCGTTCTATCATTGTCTGTATGAAGACTTTAATGTTGTGTTTTCCCCACAGCTTCCTGCCAACACAAGTCTATCAGCTCACCCAGGTGTGTGCTCCTCAGCTAATTAGTCCGCTCTTCTGGAAAATGTAGGCTTACTCCATGCCAGGAGCTCGGCAGTTAGCGTCTTCTAGATGTTAAAACCACAATTAAGCTGTAATTTATGTCGGCTGCCACTTATCACTTGACTGGTGCCTTTCACTGTGTCTCAAACTTCATATTTATCATTCGTGGGATGTTTGCAGAAGCCCAAATAGCCTGAAGAAATATTTTGCTGCAACAAAGCAAAAAAGAAAAAAAAGATTGATACTTTATTTGAGTAGAATCAGTTTTTCACCTTAGATAATATATTAGTGGTTTCCGGTGGACCCAATTAAAGCATGTATCTTTCAACGGAGCGCTGTGGAAAAGCATTTCTGGTTTTGCTTTTGTGTCACTCTTTCAGATGAGCAAACCAACTTTAAAATCAGACAAAATAGGCAGATTGAATACAGAAAGAAGTTCTCAAATTATCTTTCCAAAATAACCTAGGTAACCTATATAAACCTAATAACTCGATTGATTTATTTCAAATAGATTTTTAAAAACAAGAAAACAAGCAATTAGCATGTCGACAGAGAAAACAGACATAACCAAGAACAAAACAAGTAGTAAGAAGTGAACATTTATTTAATCCCCTTATTTCAATTTAATGAAATATATTACTTTCCAACTCAACGATTATCAAAAATATGTAATTAAAACTGTAATAATATTCCTGTGCCTGTTCAATTTGCTGTATTTTTGAACACTAAATATTTGTTTAAAGTCATTGTTTTGTCTTTTGAGCTGTTGCTAGATCGACTTTCTGGATTGAAACAATCAAATGTGATAAAAAATGCAGAAACGAGAAACCTTGAAGGGAGAAAAAACAGTGGTCCGTGTTATGAACAAATTACAACAATAAACCACCAATTGGAATATAAATAACACTTAAACACTAGATGTTAACACTGTAAAACATTTAAGCCACATTTAGTTGTGTCTACTGTCTTTATTTGACGCTTTAAGTCAAATAAATGTGGAGAGTTTTAGATTTTTGAGTTGTGTTCAGGATCAGAATGTTGTCATGTAGATCTAGCCGTTAGTTGTACATTCGTTCATGTTGAGTTGTATTCTGCTTTGGTTTCTTCTCTTTTCTGGTTGAGGATTTTATTCCATTAACTGTCTTGATTGAATTTTCTTCATGGTTCCTCACTCAGACGTTCTCATTCGGTAATTAGTCTCCCATCTGCACCTGGGTCCATTAATCACCTCATCAGTTTACATTTCTCTCATTTTTCAGTTTGTCTTACTGTTGTTGCCTGTTCTTTGTACCACAGTCCGAGTCTCTTATTATCACTTTTTAAATTTTGCCACTTTTTAGTTTGATTTACCTCATTTGGACATTTTTTTCAGCTTTCAATAACAACTTTTATGATATGTTTTGCCTGTTGCACTCATTCTGACCCTTTTGTTTTAAATCCTGTTTGTTTTTGCACACCAAGCAAACACTGACAGCTTCATAAATCTCAAATTGGGATTTAAAGGATCAATGTTCAACAATAATATTTAAGTCTAGGGATTTTTGAATGGTCAATTCCAGTCCAAATTCACTTAAAACACACTTTGAAATAGTCTTTTAGGCTAGCATTAATGCTAATTTGCTGTTAGCCAATTATTGCACTCACTCTTATGTTGTCAGACATTTTCTTTCTTTTTCTACCAACGAGCAAAACTTTTCCACAAAGGTGATTCAGAAGCGGTGGAAGTTTTTTTTGTAGCTGAATAGTTGCATCAAACCCAATCATGAGTCTGGATTGAAAGTCCAAGAATCTCTTGTTCTTGGTTTTGGTCCATGGGAAATGCAAAGTAATGTATTTTATGTTGTGTTTATAACTCATAATCCACCCTTTTCAGAGCAATGATGTCATAGTCCCACCTTTAATGAAACCCTGAAATGTCAGTACTTTGACTTCATGTGTCCTTTGATGTGCTGTTGTGTGTCTGTGGCAGAATTAAAACACAACATACAAACTTTGTAAAGTCACTGTAGTGCTTTGGGTCATTTTTAGTTTTTTTATGTGAATATTTATATAAATAGAACAGTGTTTGCAAGATAAATGAAAAACAAAAAGGTTGTTTTGATGGACTATTGTCATATAATCCTGGCTTGCTAAGTGTATTGGTGGCCATATTTACATTCTCCACAACAAGCTGTCTAAGTCTGGAGTTGATGAGACGGGCAGCAAAACAATTGACATTTTCTAATCTGGAATTGAGTTTAAAACATATTAAACTTTTACAATATGATATTTCTTGATACGTGGAGCCTGTTGGATAACTTTCAGTTATCAAACTAAAAGCAGTTGATGAAAAGCAACCATTGACTGCGGAGACATCCAACAGATGGAGCTCTTGTGTATTAAAACGATCTGCCTTTTCTTTGAGAGGACATTAATTGTTTTACAAGCTTTTTCTGCATCACAGTAACACATCTGAACAAATATTTCAAAAACTGTGTTGAATAAAGCAAAGGAAGTCCCTCGCAAACATGAGGTCCTAAAGTACAAAGAGCTCCCGCTAATGTTTTTATAAAAATGTGGCATTATTCATAATGTCAAAAATAACTTGAAGGTCAGTGGCATTTAATTGTGTTGTTTTGTTTTTAGGGCATCACACACAAAGCCAGCCGCCTGTTCGGAGTGAAATTGGCTCTGACAAACTAATACGATGCCATCTACTCCTTTAGTGGTTTTCATGCACCAGATGTGTCTGCATGCTTTTTATTCACATTTGGTATTTAGCCGTGGCGTGGATTGTAAGCTTTCATTCCCTCTGTGAGACTGTAAATAACCCCAGCGTCCTCGGGGGATGACAACATAAAACAGTGCTGTTAGTGGACCACAGTGTCTGCCAGAGGCTGAGCCCCTATTTGGACTTCTGGAAAACTAATATCCTGCATATCTGGTTCTCTCACATCAAGCTCAACTGGAAACAAGCATACAAAGCAAGTAAAGGAGTGAGAAATGAAGGAACCTTCCTGCACCCTTTGTCTTTCAGAACCTTTATGGGTGTTTTAGCATCTGATAGTCCGACAGACTCCGTCTGATTGAGAACCACAACTCCAGCATTTGGTATATTTTTTTCTGGTTTGGTTCACTTTCACACTGAGAAACAAACCTGTTCAATCCCACTAAAGAAAACAATATGAAAACCTCTGAAGAAGACATGAGCGCAACGCCCTTCGTCACAAAACGTAAACAAAAACGGATTAGCATAACATTTTAGTTGTTGTAGGATTTCTCTTTTGTATTTAGTTAAAAAAACACTAACTTTTTATCCTGCTAGCTTAGATTCTCGTGTTGTTTAGGTGGTTTTAAGCAGAATGACCTGCGACGTTCTGTCGTCTTTATATTTTTCTTCTACCAGTTGTAACATTTGGTGAGAAAACAGTGTTTCCATTGTCATTTTGCAAAATCAACTAATTTTGATACAGCTGAAAAATTACCTTTTCCCAATACAAAAACTTTTTATTCATAAATGAATTAAGTTATTTTTGGGGTTTTTTTTTTCAAAATTGTCACATTTCCATGAAGTGAATTTTAATCATTTCAATTTGTGCAATGATATGAAGATGCAGTTACTGACTGGCAGCAATCTCATCTCCTTCACCCTCCAATGGAGAACCTGCAGCTCTAAAAACTACAGCACAAACACAATAACCTGGAATCCTGGACACAATACTTCAACCAAATCCCATCATTGTTTTCAAAATGCACAGGAAAGTTCTGCTGTTTTACAATCATTTTAAACAAATATTTCCTTCAAAATTTTATCAAATAGTCTTTTTCAGTAGCAAACACTTGGGAAATGTAATAATCAGTAATTTCCTTTCATCCTGTTGTGTTTTTGTACCTGCAATTGTTCCGGTTTCAACTGATGTCACATTTCAATCGCCCTCCCTGACTTGACTTGGCACCCGTGTTCGTAGCGGCTGAATTCACTTTTAAATATGCCTTTTCTCTGGAGGTCCCAGCCCCTTGTGATGTGACCCGCATGACTAATTCCTTTTAAAGGGGAATAACATGCATTAGGCTCTCCCTTTTTTTTCTTCTATTTGCATAATTTTGTTTGGCAACTTGGCAAGGAGCCATTAATGGCACAGAGACACACGCTGTAAAGGTTAGGGGCTGGATTCGAATCGATACTTTTATTTCAACATCTTCAGTTGCATCGGGCTCCAAATCGGTGATGCATTCCTTGATTTCGATGCTTGAGATAAAGCAACATCTTTACACTCAATCAATAGTCTTTTACTTTGTTTTTTTTCTTGTGTTCAATCTCATTTGTGCTCGTTACTGCTTCAATTAGACGTTCTCTTGAGGTGACGTTAAAACATGTGGTCCAGCTGTGTGGGAGAAAAACCGACTGCATTCGGGTCAAGAAGTGAAAGCTCGACCAAAACAAGTGGATTACGCAGCAGGGAGAGGTGGGGGGGACACAGGAGGATGACCGGGAGAAGTTGTGTCTAGCGCCAGTCAAGAGGAAATAATCACAACGTTACCTACTCATGAAATATTAATCTCCCGCTTCCTATTTTAGTCCGGCTTTGGAAATAAAAAACTGCCTTTCCTCTTTACCTTTTAGGCAGCATGCAAGAATATTTTTGTTTCTATTACTTGTTTTTGACAGCTGTATTACTGCTGATAAGTAGGGCTGTGTGAGCTGATCAAGTAGTGAGACAAGCATTCAGAGCAGCAGCGGCAGCAGCACAGCAGCAGCGCTGTAGTCACAAGGAGCCGTGGCAGCCGAAGCAGCAGCAGCACTATCAGTCACAGCGCAGGCAGCAGCAGCGACAGCAGCAGCAGCAAACTCTCTCCCGTCTTTCTCCCCCCCTCTTCTTTCTGGAGTTGTATCCCGCACCGAGGACAAAAGCCGGGGAAGTAGGAGGGAAGTGATCCAGGGCTGAAAGCTGCCATCAAGAAGAAACAAAAACGCAGACCTGGCTGCCCACATGCCTATCGAATTTGTTTGCAAAATCAAATTTGCAGAGGAGGATGAGAAGCAGAAAAGCAAGCAAGATGGGGATAAGGAGAGCCTGATCGAGGAGAGCTGTACGCCGCCGGCCAAAGACTTGGCAGGGTTTGCTAACTCCTGCTCCCTCCATGGGATCAACCACATCTTCGTTTCTGGCCGCCTGGGGATCCGGCAGACTCTCTGGGCTCTTGCCTTCTTGACTTCTCTGGCGCTCTTTCTGTACCAAGCGGCCAAGTGTGCCATCTCCTACCTGGAGCACCCTCATGTGACGGCGCTGAACGAAGAGGCAACCCCGGAGATGGTCTTCCCTGCTGTGACCATCTGCAACATCAACCGGTTTCGCTTCTCAGCCCTCACCGACGCAGACATCTACCACCTGGCAAACTTGACGGGTCTGCCCCCCAAGAACAGGGATGGACACAAACCCACTGATTTGATGTATCCTGCACCTGACATGCAGGACATCTTCAACAGGACGGGGCATCAGCTGGAGGAGATGCTGATGAGCTGCAATTTCAGTGGACAGAACTGCTCAGTTGAGGACTTCTCTGTGGTGAGTGCCAAACTTTTGGAAAGTTTTGCTGAATTAAATCTTTGCTTAAAACTTTTACCATTTTCTCAAGTAAGAAATGATGATAAGAAAGAAAAACACAGAGAGGGAGAAGAGTGAATCTCTTTTCCTTTATGTCCAAACTGATGAGGAGGAGAATGTGATTCCCAGGATGCAGATCTGCATGCAGAATTCATTGCTTTTTGCTGGATCATTGAGCTGCATCTCTCACTAAGTTCCAAGAAGCAACAGCGTTTCTCGTCAGACCAGATCCTCTCATGTCAGAGAGCAAAGTCTGCTTCCTACAAATGGAAACACAGAGCCGTTTGTGCACTTTTTTTTTTATCTTCCTGCAAAACAAACTACACTTTAACGCCACCGTTACGCCAGGCAGCTGAGAGCGCATGGCAACCAAATTGTTATAGAAATTATTAGCTGACTCTCTATCTCTCTTTTTCACGCTCTCTCTCTCTCTCTTTCTCTCTCTCTCTCTGCCTGATATCGTAGAGTGAGAGCCGCTGCCTCTCTATCCCGCTCTCCCGGCTCTTGTACCTTTCAAGAGGAGAAGGAATAATGCTTCTTCAATGTTGTATTTCAATCCTGCTGCTGTTAGGATTAAATATTTAAAGACCGACATACATGATTTTTGCATTAGCTAGATTGACTAAAAGGAATGAAACAATTTCCATGAGAGGCAAAGTGCGTTTATATGCAAGTGTGTGTGTGAGGATGGAAGTGGGGGGGATCAGGTGAAGGAAGGGCAGTTTGAGCCTGTTGTCTGTGGGATGTTTATTTAAGACATTGTCCTTACAGGAGATGGATTTCCCCTCCATCTTCCCTCCAGAAATATTCAATTGATTTAGAGATGATAAACTGCAGGTGTCACGGCTTAATAGGGTACATTGAACACTGATGTGGTCACAAAGATTTGGTCCTATCCGTGAGATGATGCATAATAAAGTGCTAAGTCGAACCAGCCCAAAAATAAATCTTTCGTTTTTATCCCTGCGACTCTGGGATATTTATTTCTTTGTTTTTGAAGCGGTCTCTCAGACTTGGATGCAGAATTACCTATGACATTAAAATGGATGCCCCTTGAAGAAATGTTCACAATTGCTCAATCAGGCAAAGGAAAATGTCAAGCTCCTTGCGGGAGCTGGAAAGTTTGATCAAATTCTATCTGAAGTAAGAAAAGACAGTAAAAGTTATATATATGAAGCGTGCTTCCCCACTCCTGGTGGATTCACAGATAATAGACATCCAGTAATCGTCCGTTCCAAGTCAGCCTCCCTTGGACTTCATCACAGATTGCAATCCTGTAGAAAGTTTCCCCCCAGACAATGTTTTGTCTCCTGTCAGCTGTGTGATATGCATTTTTTGCCGCTGGCAGTTCGATCCTTTTCAGGCGGCTTCACAACTCGCTCTCTCTGCATCCTGGTGGGGAAACACAACTTGTGGAAACAAGAAGTCTGAGAGCATCTTGTTAAAAACAAGATTAAACAACTGTCTTGACAAATCTGTGAGAAGACACGCCTACAACAAACCATGATAAAAAATAAAAAAAAACGCCCATTGATGGGCTCTAATTGCGTTTGCCTCTTAATTTCCCATCATTTCCCGAGATTATTTTTAGCATTTTAAGAGGCGATCCACTTGAAATTTGATGCACAAATGCAATTTCCTCATTTTGTGTAATTCAGATTTGAAATCAGCAGTTCACACTGGGAAACTGGAAGCTGGTAAAACCCTGATCGGTGCACTCCCATTATTCATCTTTTATATTAAAAACCAATTAATGCTAGCGAGCCCCCTATTGATCACATGTACAAACGCATACACGAGTCTCGTACAGTTCGGTCATTATTGCTGTTCTCCTGTGACCCTCCTTCAGGATCCGCTCCTGTTAATGTGTTTTTGTTCGATCGATCATACAGGGAGCGACAGATGTTTTATTTCAGTAAAAAGCTCAGTGATTCTGTGGCTCTCGGGAGAGAGAAGTGATGAAATAAATGCAGCGTCTGTGTTTTCTGACATTCTAGGCTTTGTAAACAGATCCTGACCTCTGGCGTTGCATTGTGGGTTGCATTTGCCTTTCTTAAATCAAGAATGGATGAATTCATATTTATATTACTCTATGTGGTCATTAGTTAGACATTCCTGCATTTATTTCCAGTTTTTTAATCTCAGATTTCATCAGTAGTAAATTTTTCAGTCCAGTTTAAAGGACACATAAGTTCACTTTCAGTTTATAGTGAATATTTTTGCAGAGCTCAGTCTTTAAAAAAGAAACTTGTAAAAACTACAGGCAGTAAGGAGCTGGATACATAGATATGAGCATGTATGTAAAATTATGGAAATGTTTCAGTGATGTGTTTATGCAGATCTTTGGCCCACTTTTAAACGAAAATATGACTATTCATTTATTTAGGAGTTGTTTTTACAGTGGTCAGGCTTTAAATCAGGGGTGTCAAACTCATTTTCATTTTGGGCCACATCAAAAATCATTTATATACTCAAAGATCCAATTGTGTGGTAAAAAGCATGAGACTGATAAAATGTTAATAAATAAATGTCTGCATCTGTACTTTTCCCATCAGGATTTCCTAATTGCTTTTAGGGATTATTTTCACAAATATTTTGTTGCTACTTTATAAATATTTGCAAGGAATTTTGCAATATTTTTGCTTATACATAAAATTAAACATGACTTTCATTACTCGCCGTATTGCTCATAGAATATAAGTTGACATCAAATAATGTGGAGGAAGCAGAGTAGTAGAAAAAATACAGCAGGAGGGAGTTAGCATCACTGAAACCCAATGGTTTTAACAATTTTCAGCAAACAAATCGTACATTTATGCATTATAAAAATGATGAATGGATGTAACTTTTTGAAAATGAAATATACTCTCAAACAGGTGTGTTTACCATACCTATCCAATCCTAAAAAATAAACTTTTCCACACTTTGCACTGGTTTCAGATATCCATTGTTAATGTTGAACTAATGAAGAGTTGGATATTTAAATTTGCAAAGTTGTCATTTTTATGGATGGATAGATCTTTTCATTTTGGGCCTAATCAAAAATCTGAATGTTCTTAAAGGGCCAGTTGTGCCAGAATGCTTTGATAAAACTCATTGAACTGTTAAAATATCATTACATAGCTGTTTGTTCCAACATTCAGTAAAAGTTTCTTTAAATTTAATTATAATGACCATCAAAATCACAGATTTTTAGTGCTAATTTAGAAATATTTGTGCTCATGCATGATGTTAAATGTGAGTTTTTATCAATTGCTGTATCAATCATGGACTGTGGAGTAACGCTGAGGCAGCAGTCAGTTAAACTGAATGTTTTTGGCCAATTTTGAGAAAGATTTGCCTTAAAAATGTGGTGATCTCTCTATTTTGTGTGAGTTTTGCAGATTTGTGAAAAACTAGAGGGACTTTCTGATGTAATTTGGAGTCTGCAGGGCCTCGGGTTTGACACATTTGGTAAAGTCTAACATTTTTTCCATTCTTATCCAAAATCCATCAAAGTCCATTAGTTTTTCAGACTGTGTGGCAACCCTGTTTATTGCATTTGGTTAGTAAATGTTGTTTTAAATGTGTCTTAAAACGTCCATTTTTAATATTACTTTACTCCAGAAAGCCATTTCTTGACTCATGGTACAAAAACATAAATCATAAACTAAAGCGAAGCCCTATGACCGTTCTAATTTATGGCAGGAAAATAAACTGTCATTTTACAGAGAAATTTGTTTTGCTCCTTTCGCCATCACAAACTGCCATGATTATTTGACGTAGGTGAAAAGACCATTCCTTATAATTAAAGATAACATTATTGACTTGGATTAATCTCAGATGATAAAGCTGATTCAACAAGCCATGAATAAATAGATTATTTTTCTCCCAGTCTGACTCCCTGAATAATTGTTAATCTAGTGTTTAGAGCTGTCGCAGAAATGAGCAGCAAGCCCTTTGTTTTTTTATTTTTTTTAAGCAAAGCGATGAATTGGTTTGCTCTGACTTTCAGCTGTGTTTGCTGCTGCATTATCAGATTTTGCTCTCAGCAAGGACAGATCCCCACTGCATATATTCATGGAGATAGCTGAAACACCTATGGGGTGGCATTTGAGGTGATCTATAAAAACCTGTGTTAACGGGGACGGCACTGAAGTGCTCTTCGACTTCAATTTGTCATTTCCCTGACTGAAGCCTTTGTTGTATATTTTATAGATAATTGAACGTTTAATGGTAAAAGGCACAGTCGATGTTTATCCCGTTTACCCTGTTTTTCTGTCCCTCACAGCAGAAAAGGACCTTAAACTACATAAATGTAATTTTATAATATAGAGAATTGGCACAAAAGAAGGAATATGAAGTGCGCTGCCCTTGTGTGGGTCGTCAGAACAGAAAACTATGATTACATAGTGAATAAAGTCTAAACGCTTTACACTTCTTTTTTTCTTTTTTTTTTACATCACAAAGAGTCATAAGTATAATCATACAGATATAATGGGCTGGTATCTTTACTGTATGATAACACTGAGTGAAAATAGAGCAATCTTACAATTTCAACTGCTTCTACTTAAAATGGAGAATCGATTCACTCTCATCTATTGTATTTTAATAACATATTTATGGCAAGTTTTGAACAAAAATACTGTGTCTCTCACGTTGTTTCTTCAATTTTATTTTTAAAACCCTTTAAGACCTAATTTTCAATTCTCCACCTGGATATTTTTGCTTATTTTAAAATAAGCAACTGTACACACTTGTTTATTTTAAACTGTGTAAAATAAATAAGTTGCTTAATAAATAGATTAATATCTATTGCTAGATAAAGGCACATAAGCCTTTATCTAGCAATCAAATAACGTTTAAAATCACATGTATATCGATAGTTAACGAACAAAAACCACATGCAGAAGCTAACAACTGGCTTATTAAACACAATCCTGGCACACTGATTGTTTTCATTTCTATTTCAGAAAATAAAA